AGAGAGAGAGAGAGAGAGAGAGAGAGAGAATCCTAAGCAGTGTCCACACTCAGCACAGAGTTTAACACAGAGCTCTATTCCACTACCCTGGGATCATGACCTGAGCCCAAATCAAGAGTCACATGTTCAACAGACTTAGCTACCCACGCACTTCAGTCTACTTAAATTTATTAAGACTTGTTTTGTGACCCAACATGTGACCTATCCTGGAGAATGGTCCATGTGCACTTGAAAAGAACATGTATTCTATTAGTATTGGATGGAATGTACATCTCTGTTAAGGCCTTCTGGTTTAATGTGTCATTCAAAGACACTGTTTCCTTATTGATTTTCTGCTGGATGCTCTAGCCATTGAAGTAAGTGGAGTGTTAAAGCCCCCTACTTTTATTATATTACTGTCAGTTTCTCCCTTTATTTCTGTTAACATTTCCATTATGTACTTAGGTGCTCCAATGTGGGGTGGACAGTTATTCACAATTGTTATATCTTCTTGTTGGAAGAGCCCTTTATCATCATGTAATAATACCCTTCTTTGTCTCTTGTTACAAAGTAATTTTGTCTGATCTAAGTATTGTTACATTGATTCCTGCCTCCCCATCCACTTCTATTTACGTATCTTTTTCCATGCTTTCACTTTCAGTCTGTATGTGTCTTTAGTTATAAAGTGAATCTTTTGTAGGCAACATATAGATGGGTCTTTTTTTTTTTAATCCATTTAGTCACCCTGTTTCTTTTGATTGGAGCATTTAGTCTTTTTCCATGGAATTATTGATAAGTATGAACTTATTATTATTGTTATTATTAATTTGCAGGTACTTTCTGTTCCTTTATTCTTCTCTTGCTCTCTTTCCTTGTGGATTGATGGCTTACTTTAGTGCTATGCTTGGGTTCCTTTCTCTTTTTTGTGTATCTATGATATGGTTTGATTCGTGGTTACCATTTCATTCATATATAATGTCTCATGTGTACATCAATTTATATTAAGTTAATGGTCACTTAAATTCAAGCACATTCTAAATTTTTGTGTATCCCCTAACTGAATTTTGTGTAAATAACCAATTTTACTACTTTTTGTTTTAAACTCCATACTGACTTTATAAGTGATTTTATCTATTACCTTTACTGCATGCTTTAACAGTGAATTTTTTTTTCTTTCATCATTTCTTTCTAGCTATAGCCTTTTCTTTCCAGTCAAAGGATTCTCTTTAATGTTTCTTGTCAGGATATTCTAGTGATGATGTATTCCTTTACCTTTTGTTTGGGAAGTTCTTTCTCTCTCCTTTTATTCTAAGTGATGGCCTGCTAGATAGAATATTCTCAGTTACAGGTTTTTGTTTTTTTTCCTTTCAGCACTTTGAATATATCATTCTACTCCCTTCTGGCCTGCAAAGTTGCTGCTGAAAACCAGCTGATAGCCTTACAGGGTTTCTCTTGTACGTAATTTTTTTTTTCTTGCTGCTTTTGAAATTCTCTCTTTATCATTACTTTTTGCCATTTTAATTATTATGTGTCTTGGTGTGGACCTCCTGGTTCATCTTTTTTTTTTTTTTATGTTTATTCATTTGTTTTTGAGAGACAAAGAGTGGAGCACAAGCAAGGGAGGGGCAGAGAGAGAGGGAGAGAGAGGATCTGAAGCGCTGCACTGGGAACACAGAGTCTGATGCAGGGCTTGAACCCACGAGCCACAGGATCATGACCTGAGCCGAAGTCAGATACTTAACTGACTGAGCCACCCAGGTGCCCCTCCTGAGTTCATCTTGCAAGGGGCTCTCTGTGTTTCCTGGACCTGGAAGTCTCTTTCCCTCTCCAGATTAGGTAAGTTTTCAGCTATTATTTCTTCAAGTAAATTTTGTCGCCTTCTCTTTCTTCTCCTTCTGGGATCCCTATAATGCAAATGTTATTAAATTTGATGATGTTGAGTTCCCTTAACCTATTCTCATTTTTTATTTTTTTTATTTATTGATTCTGTTTAGCTTGGTTGCTTTCCATTACCACCTTCCAATTACTGATATGTTCTGTATTCTCTAATCTGCTGTCAGTTCCCGCTGGTGTAATTTTTATTTTGGTTATTGAATTCTTCATCTCTGGTTCTTTTTTATATTTTTCTTCTTTTTGTTTAAGTTCTTCCTGAGTTTATCTGCTCTTTTCTCAAGTCTAATGAGTATCTTTATGACCATTACTTTGAATTTTTTATCAGGCATATTGCTTATCTGTGTCATTTAGCACTTTTGCTGTGATTTTCTAGTATTCTTTCCTTTCAGCCATATTCCTCTGCCTCCCCATTTTATCATAGTCTTTGTGTTTATGGATTAGGGAGGTCAGCTGTGTCACCTGGTCTTCATAGTAGTGGCCTTGTGTAGAAGATGTCCTGTGGGGTCCTGGAGCACAGTGTCCCCAGTCACCAAAACCAGGTGCTCCAGGGGTGCCCCTTGTGGGGGCTGAGTGCACTGTGCTGTCGTGGCTGAGTGGTTTGCCTTCTCCTAGTCGGCAGCAATGATCCACTTTGCTGTGGACACACGGCAGAGTTTGGTTCTTGCACTGTTGAGGGGCCTAATACCGGTTTGGGACTTGCAGGTGATGCGCTCAGTAATCAGACCAGGTGTCTGCATTCAGCCTTTCTGCTGCGGCTGCGGGCCCTCAGAAAGACGGGTTTTCTCCCTGTGGTGCACGGAGGCTCTCATTCACCGGCAGGGCCGGACGTCAGAATAAATGTCTGCAGTTCATCCGTCTGCTGCAGTTACGGGTGCACCAAGCAGCAGCGCTTTTGCCTTGCACAGCCAGCCAAAAGGCTCTGCTAATGGAACTGCAGGCACACCGGCATGTGGGGTTCTCTCTCCCTCTCCCCGTGCCAAGAGTCACTTTGGAGTGGTGCCAGTCCCTGCCAGAGCTGCTTCGGTGCGCACCTGCTGAGGCAAGAGGGTTAGATGATGCAAGGTGTGCAGGGGAATTCAATTCAGGGGTGGCACAGAGGGGGCCGGCGAGGTAGGTGGGGAGTTAGTGCTGGTTCCCACCAGTGTCTATCTAGTCTAGGGGAGGGAGAGCCCCCAGCGGCCCCAAGCACTCCTACCTTGTCCTCCACTAAGGTGTGAGAAGGGGGCTGTGGAGGAAACACAAGAGGGGGAGAAGCTGTCTCCACAGTTAGTTCTTAGGCCAGATTCCCTAGAAGGGCATCTGGACATCTGAGCAGTTCAAGCAGGATATAAATGCAATTTCTGGAAAATGTTTTGATTTTTTAGGAGTTAGTCGACATACTGCTCTGTCAGCTTTCCATAGTAGTTATTGGTTTGTCCAAGTAGAGCAAAGGAAGGACATTCCTGAAGTTGAAAGGCTTCTGCGACAGGACTTGCAGAGAATAGGAGGAAAAGGTTACACAGCAAAAATTCCTCCTGGTTAGTTTTCTTTGGGTGTTAGGATTGCTTTTCGATTCTCTGTATTTTTTTAATTTTTGTTTTAATAAAGCACAGGAGCAGGGGAGAGGGGGCAGAGGGAGAGAATCTTAAGCAGGCTCCACACTCAGTGCAGAGCCTGACGTGGCGCTGATTCCTACAACCCTGGGATCGTGACCTGAGCCAAAATCCAGAATTGAACACCCAACTGATGGAGCCACCCAGGTGCCCCGTTGTTTGTACATTTTAATATTCTCACAATACAGGTATATTGCTTTTGTATTGAAAACCTATGTACATAAAATTTGAAAAAATAGTATTTTCAGCTTCAAGGTAAATACGTAAAAGTTGCTTTAGTGGTCACCAGAGGGAAGCTTTGAACTTGGTATCCACTGGCTACATGCAGCAGGTCTTCTAATCCAGGCATGGGTGGCAAAGCAGAATCGACTCCCACTCTCCTTAGGAATCTATTTTTCTAGCTCTATTTGATTACGTCCAAATCAGATGTCCTCTTAACCTGTATGTCAAAACTAGTAGTCACATCATAAAGAGCTGCCTTCTCTAAGGCATTTTGCTTCTCTCTTTCTTTTCTACCTTGAGGAAAACATCATTTCTCAGATTGTTACACAAAGCCAACCTAAGCAGAAGTCTCTTCTCACACACACGCTGGATGCTTGGTTTTCATCTTTAACATAACATGTAGTAACTTTCTCCCACACCAAATTGTAGGAACTTGGGAAGCATCTCTTAATGTCAACATGAACTTGAAAGCAACTGGCTGCAGATGCTGATTTCTGAAAGGACGGGAGTCTTCAACCCCAGCTGTGTCTGAATGTCCAACAACAAAGCTGATTCCAGGAGAGTTCTGCCACACACAAACTCTGAGACCACACAGCAATGGCACCATCATCAGAGAGGTAACACAGCACACTCAGTGGCTGGCTCTCTCCCCACTTTAATTCTGGACAGAGTTGGGCGTGGGTTGATATGATCATCTGCTGCTCTTTTAGGAACAAAGGTGCCCAGCTGAGTTTGTTGAAGGGCTCCAGGCCAGAGTTCAGTCTTTCTCACTTAATGTCACACATCTGTAAGGTGCCTAGATGAGGCTGGAGTATGGAGAGTGACAATCTGTGGCCACATACGGAGACCACAGATATAAGGAGGCAGATTCCTAGACCTTCGCTGGCTATCCCAGGGCTATGTTTTATTCCAACATTTAAAAAAGGCCATCTAAATACATTTTCTTGAAAGAAATGTTTATTATGTTTATTGGTCAAACAGTTTCAAACAAATCCAGAACAAGTTTTCACATTTTGAGCCTGTAGTGCAGAGAGACTATGTCATGCGTGAAAGAAATGCTGGTCCAGTGGAGCCCTTCCCTGATGCAATTAATATGGGATGATCAGGCAGAAAGAGAATTATGTGACAGAGCTCTGCTCAGAAATCCTCTTGAAAAAGAACAGGATTTAAAGCTCATTTTAAGGTTTGTCACAACATAAATGTGCTTAAACAACTTGTAATCTCAACTTCTTAATTTCAAAACAAAATACCCCAGGTATCAACTATCCCTTTAAATAAAAAAAATAATCAATTTATACTCTTCTTAAAAGAACTCTAACAATGTAAAATAAGTTCCAATTCCATATATATATATATGTACATTTATAACTTAGGTGCTCTTTTGCTCTATATACTTTGATTCATGCAACAGTGACAGAGGACTGGATGGGAGGCCCTAGAGAGGCCTCTCCGAGAAAGCAGTGTAGCTCCTCACTCTGGCGAAGAACAAGGGGGTGTACATCTTGTCAATCTCAAAAGCAGTGACTGCAGTCTCACCAGTTGATCTGCAAGAAAGCACAAAAAGACCAGTTACAAGGAAGTTGCAACTTATTTAAAATTCTTCCATCTTTATAGGGGAGGGCTTATCTTATATTTTAGTCTTTATTTTTAATTCATCTCAGTAAATTCTACATGATAGAGGCATGATACAAGAAAACCACAGGCCCCAAATGGTGTCAATTAGACCGAGTTTCCAAACCAGGGCCTAATACATAAGCGAAATGCAATTTCAAATCAGTCAGGAATTTTATGATGGGCCCCCATGCGTCTGCCACATGGGCCCTCTCCATCCCCCAGAGGACGAGGAGGTAATCTGCATGGGAAGACTCCCTGCTCTTTCCCTCTAAGTGAAAGCAGCATTGCCCGGGAAAAGCCTTTTCCTTTGTTAATAACCTGCTTGTCCCCACCCTCCTACAAAAACCTTCCATTTTGTGCAACTCCTCCGACCTCCCCTCTACTTGTTAGATAGGATGCTGCCCAATTCGTAACTTATTTAATAAAGCCAATTAGACATTTAAAATGTACTTGGTTGAATTTTTGTCATTTAACACATTTGGTGCCAGCAACAGGATCCCAGGTGAATTTCCAGCAGCACATGGGGACAATGAGAAACAGGTATGGTACCTGTGACCCTTTGAGTTCACTGCCTTTCTCACCATTTTCAGGGCTGTGGGTAAGTTCCTCTCAGTTATGAATTTTTTGTTGTTGATGTTCAAGCTCCCCATCTAGCTGGTTTTCCTTTACAGGGCAGGTCAGCTTGAGGTGGCAGAAGGGTCTGCCTGAGCCAAGCTCCTAGCCTTGCAGACCACAATTTCCTGGTAGAAAAGCAAGGTTCCACAGGAATTGGTGGTGGTGTGCACAGGGCCTTCTTACAGGCCGAAACACTGAGGTGCACGTTTGCCAGGATGGTTTTGTGCAGAAAAGGCTATCAATAGTGGGGATCTTGGAGGCCAAAAAGCTGCACGAATTGGTGGGTATGGGTGGAGCATTTAAAGGCTGTTAGAGGGCTCCCCACCTCAAGAAGTCTCCTGGGATAGAAGTTGGTCATGGAACAGGTTAGACAGGCACTAGGTCACCTACCAACCTCAAGAAACCTTCCAGGCAACAAAGTAGACTGTAAAACACACAGTTCCCAACCCCATGGTGCATCCCTTTTAGGTGTTGGTTCAACTTGGAGAAACCCAAAGACCTAGCTAATGGGATCCTTAAATCCTAATAAGTCAAGCGTGCCATGTTCCAGCACACCTGCTTATTCCGTGTCTAAGAACTCTAGTCCCAGAAGTTTTAGATATCCAGCAAAAATGGCAAAATCCTCCTAAGCTTGTTTTGTATCTGAGGAACTTGGCTTGGTAACCATCAGGTTGGGTGCCCCAAAAGGCAGCTGAACAGAAATGTGGGTTAACTCCGTGGCTAGGGTCCTACCAAACTGCTGCCAGCCCTCAGAGGAATTACAACCTAGAAATACAATGGCCAGTATGGGGAACATGCCAATTAGATAAGATCATTTAAGAAGTACACTTGCAAGCAAGGGTTTCCAAATTAAACAGGATGGGAGACCTGTTTTCTGGCATGCAGAGGCTTTCAAAAGGTTTTAAAATTCCAAAATAGTTTCACTGAAAGATTTTATCACAGGAAGTTAGTGAAAAATTAAACACAGAAAAGGTGACTATCTAAAACAAGACTTTTAAGACTGACATGACTCCTACTGCTTCCTCTCTGTCTTCCTTTGGGTACTCACTCTAGTCTGAATTTTTTCTTCCACTCTGAGAAGGCTAATAAAACCATAAACAAAATTCTGCCAAGTTAATGGCCTTACAGGTTCCCTGTTACCTACCTTCAATATCTACCTTCAAAGAAGGGCCCTCATGTGAACCCCTCTCAGAGTTGATGAAGCTGAGGGATTTTTCTTATAAGCTGCTACATTATTCTTTAAACAGTCAAGGGTAAACTGGCAGATATAGATACAGATCTTGCCAAAGTGATCCTGGAAAAACTGGCAGAAGCCAGCAAAAGGTGAAAATTCTTACTGGAACCAGCTCTTCCAAATCTGTCTGCCCAATTAAACAGAAAATAAAATCACACTGCCCCTTCCCTTCTAAATCCAGACCCATTGGTTATTGATCCCTTCTCTCCCAGGGACAGCTATTGCCTCCTTGCTGGTCTTGTTTTGTGTAACTGGTCTTGGTTTTCTGCTTGCCTGGAACATATAGATTGTTGGTTCTTCCTTTTGGCCATCACTGTGAGTGGTTCTAGATTTGGGAAAGAAAGTTGATACCCCCTGCACTCTCTTTGGTGACCCATCTTATACCCGAGGGAGGCTATTCAGTATTGCCAAAAATACTTAGAATTATGTACTGAGAGGAGGAGAAAAGCAAATTGAGGGCACTATAGTTGGATAGATGGAGCAACCTATGACTTCATTTAAATTACAATCCAATTCTTTGAAGAACTGAAAGCAACTGGTCCTGATGTTACAAATCTTTACCAAACCAGAAATGTAGCTCTATAGGCAATCATGAGTTCACCTATGCCTCTAGCAATCCCCAAACTTGCCCTGGTTATCTCAAACAGCTTGTACATTATTGGCCTTAGGAAACCAAAGTTCCTCTAAAAGGAGCTTGTATTTTCCCCTGTACCTTTTAAATCTAAATGTTCAATGTTCTACCTGGTCTTCTCCAGGAGCTCTTTAGTCCATCTCGTTAAAATGAAAATTTAAGGGAGATAATTCTTATCAAGAAAAAAATAAAACAGAGAAAGATTTTTTGGAATTTTAATTACCAAGGACAAGCACAAAACTTAATATCCAAAGATGGATATTAAAAAAAAAAAGCTTTACCCCCTAACCGGGTAACCTTAACCTATTCATCATCTACCAGAAAAACAAACTCACATCCAACTTTCATTGGATTTCATAGCAGAAATTTCATAGCAGATTTCATAGCAGAAATTCTGCTATGATTTCATAGCAGAAATTTCAAAACCAGCTCTAAGTCCCTGAGCCTGTCTGTTCACATGTGTCTACAAGTGTGTTATGTGTTACCTTCTACCTCCGCATGGTATTGCTAAAATGGATTTCTAAAAAAGCTCTACGTAGTTGGTTTGAAGGCAAGTGCCTGTAAGGATGGGCAGTCTGAAACTCAGAAAGAAACCCAAATGTTTAAGTTCACAGGTTTTGGGAAAATATTTGATATAAAAACTAGATTATGGTTGATGGCTTAATTAAAACAAACATGTTTTTAGTTATCAACATTAAATATAAAACTTACTCTACCTGAGTTTACTAGCTATTTAAGTTCACGTTCTCTCTTATAAGATGTAGCCACACAAAACATAATAGCTTAGGATAATGGCTGACTTTAATGTCTAATGTTTAATAAAGTTCTTGTAGGTAATCTAAACATAATTCAGGATATTTCAAAAATAAAGACAAAAGTTTACAAATGAGCTTTTCAGCAATATTTTCCCTAATTTTTTTATTTTTTATTTGGATAGTCTAAAACCTTGAAGTTTTACTGAGTTAGGTTAAATAAGTTAGTCATTAAATATGTAGGTCATTTCCAAATAAGAGAAAATTCTAAAACATTAATTAGTAAACATAGGCTTATCTACTTTTGGCTTCCTATTACAGAGAAACAAGATATTTAAACAAGCTAATGCTACATTAAAAAATTTAAAAAGGTACATGCTTATAGAAATTCTAAAATGTATTCATAAATATGCAAATTAAAAAAATCTAAGCTCACTTCTTAGTTTTCACTAGAAATTAAGGTTTCTTAAGGGTTAAGAATTCTAATATACATAATTAAAGCCACTAAAAATAATTAGGGAAACATCTGTATATGCCAGGAAAAGTAGGATGTGTTTTTAGTAACAAAAGGTATGAGAAATGGAGATGTGTTTTTTGTTGAGGAAAAAGAAGTTTTATCCTAAAATGAAGCTGGTTGTTTAAAGGGGAAAAAAAAATTTTAAAAAGGACAAAAAGTATAGAAAGAAGCGGTGGGGCCCTTGGGTAGCTCAGTCAGTTAAGCGTCCAACTTGGGCTTAGGTCATGATCTCACAGTTCATGGGTTCAAGCCCCACGT